CTGCGCGACGAGGCGCCGGGGCGTCAAGCGGGATGCGCGCGGGCCCGATGGGGCGGCCGTCGAGAGCGACGCAGAGCCGGCGGCCGGGGCGGGCGACGAGGTTCCGTCGCCGGCGGACGCCGCCGCGGCGTCGCTCTGCTGCTGCGAGGGGGATTGGCTCGTGCCCGAGGTGGCGGCGTCGGCCCACGGAGCTTCGTCCAGAGGATCCATGGCCCCGTCGTCGTCGTTGGAAGGCGTCTTCTGGCTCTGCTAGGTCCCGTGTCGATTGCAAAAGGCCCCGGCCAGCAAGTCGAGGGGCGGTGGTGGTGTCTGCCCGCGAGTAGGTGCGCCTCAATTGGTCCCAAGTGGCAGCAGGTGGCACAGGAGCGACGTTGTGAGCTCAATCGGAGGAGTCAATCTGAGCTCCAGTCACTGGCAGCCTGGACCTTACCGGTGCTGGACCGCCCACTGTCGCGGTGGCGGTGGGTTGCTGGGGGCTCCACCTTATTGGCTGTCGCTGATGACGTTGCCATCCACAACCCCTGCGAGGCGGTTGCGTGGGCAAGCCTCAACTGGGAACTTCACATGCATGGTTGTTCCTACACTTTCTCCACGAGGAAGAATTTCAGTCGTGTTCAACGCTTCTTCATATAAACTCCGTAGCGCTTCATCTTTGAATCATATACGCCATATCTGATCTGCATGCCTCCCACGAAGCCGTATCGCCAAGTGATCAACTCACAACCCTCTATTATATCAGCTGCGGGCTCGATTGGAGGCACAATTCATGTGCCTGATGAGCCAAACGAGCCAGGAGGGAATGTAAAGCTGGGACCCGAGCGTTCTAACCCAACCAGTATACAAACGCCAGTAAAAAGAGGTATAGGGATACGGAGATGTCCACAAGCAGAGCATCCTATTTGGCTCATCGCTCCGGGTCAAAGCAGCCGCCGGCAACGACCAGGTTCATTCTCGTGAATTGCACCTTGAGCACTGGCGTCCTCTTGGTGGGGAATGCGCTGATCTGGTCGGGCGTTATCTGAACCTCTTTGCCCTTTTTCCTGCCAGTGCCGCCACCGCTCCCGCTTCCACCTCCGCCAGTCGCCCCGCCAGATGATGTGGCGGGGGCTAGCGAGTTGGATGGCTGAGCCGCCTGAGCGCCGACCGTGATGCTGCGCTCACCAGCACCACCAACATTGACAGTATCCCCAGCCCCTCCGGCACCATCTTGCTGTGCAGAAGCTGCGGGGGCTGTCGCCGCAGTAGCACTCGTGCCGACCGCAGCTCCGATCGTAGTGACCTTGCTCCCATCAGCCGGGAGCTCCACATCCCAAAGCCTGACAGTACCGTCAAGGCCACCAGAGACAAGGACGTTGGACTCGACACTGAAGCTGATGGACGGAATCCCGCCTTTGCCGTGCCCACGGCAGCGCTTGATTCGGGCACCCTTGGCGATGTCCCAGAAGAAGATGTTGCCGCCGGCGTCGGCGCTGGCTAGGATCTTGCCGTTCGGAGCCACTTCGATGGCGCTGATGTAGTCGGCGTGGCCCGTGAAGACGCGCACGCACGAGCCTGTCTGAACCGACCACATGCGGATCGACTTGTCCTGCTCGTCCGAGGCCGAAAAGACATATGTTCCATTGGGATGCCACGCAAGCGCCGTGATGCTGGTATCATGGCCGACCATAATTCGCTGCGCTGATGCGTGATCCTGCATGAAGACTCGCACAGTCTTGTCCCATCCGGCTGTTGCGAAGTAGTGCCCGTGAGGGCCCCAGAGCACCCGGAACACCGGTCCATGGTGCGCCTTGTAGACGCAAAGACAACTCCATACGTCGAGAGACCAGAGCCGGACCTGGCCATCGGCGGAACAGGACAGAAGAAGCTTGGGGCCCGTGTCGACGTTGCTGTTGCTGTCGTCGCCAAACAGGTTGCGGTCAATGTTGGAGATGGAATCAGAGAACGAGACGCTGTACACGGGGCCCGAATGGCCGACGAGCTTGCGGTTGTTGACCAGAAGCCCCTTCTCCTGTGGAACCTTGGACTTGAGGGGCTTTCCGTCAAGGCTCCAGACGCGGATATAAGAATCCATCGTCCCGGCCGCCACAAGCTGATTGTCTTTGGAGAAGTCCATCGAGGTCACGCTAGATTTTCATCTTGTCAGCAGATTCTCTTGGTTGAAACGCCTTGCTCCCGGGCGAGACATGACACTTACCTCCCCAGCGTGTTGTGAAAGGTAAACATGCATATCGAGATGGGAATGCCAACGCCGCCTGTCCTGCCCTCGATCCTGAACCGATCTCGGGTTTCGCGAATCTTCTGCATCTCCATGACGACATCGCGAGCTCGCGACGGAGGCAGCGGCAGCTCGTGCCGGCTCGGACCATCGACGCTCTCCTCGCGCTTAATCTTCCTCTCGAACTCGTCCACAAGTGTCGGCCTGCCAGGCGCTGGCGGGTTTCGCTGGTCCTCGTCTTCCAGCTCTGCACGGACGTCGTCCCTCAGTTCGGGCTCCATCGGCAAGGCTCCCAACTTCAGGGGCGCCGAGGCATCCAGGGCGTCCTTGTTGTTAGCACCGGTAAACACCCCGGGAATGCCTTCCATGGCATCGGCCTCGTCGAGCTCCACATTCTGTGTGCGGCGATAAATGGCCTCGAAGCTGTAGGGCTCGATAGGTCCACGAGATGTTGACTCAAGCGAGCAGTACGTCTGAAGAAGGTAAGTGGCGACGGCTCCACCGGTATCCGTCTCGCGCTCGAGAAAGTTGAACAGGTTACCTGTGACAAACTGGTTGAGCGGAATCTTGTACTTGTTTTCTCGGTACTTCCGCGTCATGTCGTTCTCCTTGACGTGCACCGGTAGTTTGATGGTTGCGAGCGTCTTCAGGGCATCACTATGAACGCTTTCGAAGTGGGGCTTCAGCTGCTGCAAGAGGGCCTTGGCATCTTGGGGGTAGCCATCCTCGACCAGATCCAAGTAGGAATAGATGAATAATGGCCATAGGATTTTCCGTAGCTCGAACTGCAGGCCGCGAGCAGTTTGGTCAGTCAGCCTCAATAGCCTTGGCGTTCTCTGGGGAGGGCCAACCAACCTTGTAAACGTCGAGGTTGTTCTCGACCCAGTCCCTCACCATGTTGAAGGACTGTAGGAAGCGGTTTGGGCCCATGTCTTGGACCCTTCTGTGGATGGGGCGGCCATCGCTAGAGACATGGGCGGATTCCCGCCGGAATGTGGCCTCGGTTTGTGTGTAACCCTTCTTGAGCAGATAGTCGGTAACCTGGTGGATTGTGAGCCTTTGAAAAGTCATGCCGGGAATGGAACGGCCTTGGTTGTGGGGGACAGCAGGCAGAGGGTGAAAGTAAGGTTGCGAAGGGACTCGGGCCAAGTAGGCTCCATCGTGAGAGGCGCCACGGCTCCCGTTTGGAACGTGAACATATCGATTCCCGTGCACCTCGCGCAAAGGACTGCTCCTTTGGGGGTGACGCAGCCGATCGTCGTTCTGAGCCATGGTGTGGGACCTTGGGTATTTTGTCCTAGCGTCGAGCCAGAAGGGAAGGGCAGTGTGTTCAAAAGAGCAGCATGTTGAGAAGCGGAGTGAGAGGCAGGTCAGATCCAAGACAACGTCGTTGTCAAGATGCCAAGGTATAGGTGCAGTCGCCAAAATGGTGACTGCAGCAGTAAGTTTGTGTGTTTGGGTTTGCGAATCCCGTCACGACCACGACCGGTTGCGATTGCAAGTAGGTGTCGGTAACACAGGTCTTGACTGGGAGACGTTGATCTGTGATATGCAGGGTTTCGGAAGGAGGCTGGTGGTCACACCCGCAATGGGAGGCGAAGTGGGTGGAGGACTCGAAAGGGCCCAAGGCATAGATGATTGAGGTAGGTGTGACGCATGGTCTATCCAGGACAATGGTTGGGAAAGGGCTCGAGGATTTAAATGGACTTTAGGTAGGTCGATTTCGGGTGGTTTGGTTCTGGGAAGTAACGACCCAACCAAAAACCAATCTCAGAGATATCCGATATGCGTGAAAAGGGGATTGAACTCCATCCTCCCATGTTCGCCACTCGGCTTGAACAAGTAAATACACGCGCAGCAAGGGAGGCAAGAGATAACTAATAGTCCTATTTGAGATGAACTTCTTGGAAAGGGGGCTTACAATCTTATTGAGATCAGAGGGTGAGGTGGTTACTGGTGCAGGGGCAGACTGGGCCTGAGGTGCCGCAGCCGAGGCCGCTGAAGGTGCCGAAGCCGGGTTCTGGCCGGCGTAGGCACCCCCTGCTACCGGGGGGACAGCATTCGGGGGCCCGGTGCCAGACATTGCTTGCTTCGGGGCTAGGACTTGAGATTCGCGGAGGAGCGGGTTCTCCTGCGGCCCTTTGGCTATGCGCCCATGTGATGATTATGCGGTGGAGGCTTTGGCGTGAAAGAAATGGCCTCGAACAGACGCGCGAAGTTTTTGTACGTCGGGCTTCATGCGGCCTCGGCACGCTACAGCAGATACAACAACGGCAATGTCGGATATACTTTGGTATGTGGCGCCGCCTGGCCGGTCATGTCATGTGTGATGGCGAACTTGGGTGGTGAGGCTCAAATCGAGGACGCGCTCAGGCTCCGCAGCAGCAGGCAGGGAGATGCGCCTCGCAGCAAGGCGACTGACTGCTGGCGCTGGGATCCCTGCCAGCCCAAATTCGCGTCAGAGCGCTCGGCAGAACACGCGTGATGGGATTATTGAGTTATCGGGGCTGGAAGTCACTTTTCGCGGGCCCACTCTGTCCATCCCCGTGCATGTCCGACAGATTCCCCACCATCATGTGGAGAGGCCCAGCTGCCCGCAACGGAGGAAGGAACCCCCAGGTTTCATTCTCTCCATCTCCGCCAAGTTGCCCAAATGGCATCGCCTCCCTTCAGCCACTGTGTTCCCGGCCGTTTCGTTGTGCCCTGCCGACCAGGCGCTGGCTCGAGAACAACTCCTGGATGATCAATGTCCGCGGGAGCAAATACCAACCATGGACACCCCCCAGGGCGAACCGGCTGGCAGCAATAATGCCCCGGTCGACGTTCACCAGCCTTTCACCAAGGCTGAGCGCATGCAGCAACTCAGTGAGATCGACCAGGTTAGAGCCGCCCTTGCCGCGCAAGCCTGCAGTGCCCCGCAGGCAGTTTTTAATCCCAGCCGCTGACTCGATGCTACACGTCCCTCCCTATAGGACATCAGCTCGCTGTTGGAGCTGACGAGCAAAGCCCTGGGCGCGCTGGTCACGTCGCCAACCGCGGCCGAGGCCAACGACTCGGCCCCGGAACCGAACAGCGCCAACGGCAGCGCCGACGCGCCACCATCCGCGCCCGCCGCCCCGCCAACGCAGGAGCAGCGGGAGCAGCAGAGCCGCGCGTTCGAGGCGGCCTCCAACGACTTCTTCGCCACACTGCTCTCGGTTCACGTGCGCCTGAAGCGCCAGATCTGGGGCCTCGAGGAGGCCGGCATCATCACGCTCAAGGACAGCGGCGCCAAGGGGACCGGCGGCAGCGCCGCGGCCGCGGCCGCCGCGGCGTCCGCTAAGGGCGGCGCCGTCGCCCCGACCAACCTCGCCGTGCCGGCGCTCGAGCCCAACGGCGTCGGCGCCATCGGCAACCTCGACGTCGGCTGGCTCAACAGCCGCAGCAGCAAGGTCGACCGCGACATGGAGGCAGAGCTCTGGGCGCACGCGAGGGGACATCTGGAGGCTCGCGCCAACGCCGTGGCCGCTGCAATTTCTGGGGCTGCCGTTGAGGGTGTCCCCGTCGACGCCCAGGGTGATGTAGACATGGCGTTGGCTGATTAGAAGGTCGTCTTTGTTCACGCATATTCAGATGAGTGCGGCGCCGGATTATATTGAAAATGGATGGCGTTCATGGGGCTTGCGTATGAATATTGGATACCCGGCATTTTCATTCCCGTCTTGACAACGGGCTTCGAGGCGGTCCAAGTCCAGATGGAATAAGGGCGTGGCTTTCGGCTCATCTTGGCTACAAGTCACACTTTTGAATTCACGGCATTCTTGCCGACGATAGAAAAGGAGTAAAGCACCCTTTTGGTGGTCAGCTCACGAGTAGCGCTACTTCCTGTAAATCACAGAGCACTTCAGCGTTCATTGACCTATTACGACAGCCGGCGCTTGTCGGCTGTTCGGCTGCCTGGCTGTAAGAAAGTCGGCCTAGACCCTGTTTCTGTATCTGATACACCTTTTTGAACGGGAAAAGCCTGTCTAGCTCACATAGAGTGGGTGAGAAGAGCTCTCTCGGTGCATTCGCGCGGCCGGCACAAACGCGACCGCTTAACCCATTTCTATTCGCCAGCAGACATCTGTCATTCGTCACACACACAGCGTGGCAGTTTTGCAGCTCGCCAACATGAAGGCGCTGCTGTCTGGTGTGTGTGGTCCTGTCCCGCTGCTGCGCCGCTGTGTGCGGCATGTCTCGATAGCGACAAGACGGGCGCGAGCTTCAGAATGCTGACCGCGTATGCGAGGGAAAACGTTCGAAGCACGAACCGGGGGCGTTTCAGGTCCCGACCCCCCTCCTTTGTACTGGGCGTGCATGCATGCAGCAAGCGCAGCGGGAAAAGCTCGCCAAGCCAACCGATTGGCGCGCGAGACCGGACGCGCAAAACACGACTGGATACACCAACCCAAGAAAGGGGGGTTTTGGACAGGAGCTGCTATCTCGCTGTTGGTTCGAGCTCCGTGGAGATATGGACCCCCCACCTTGTAGTCATCCCAACGTTGAGCGGGCGAAGCGTTTGTGTGCTCGTTTCCGATACAGTTTGCCTGACTGGCTTGGCCTCCCCTTCGTCTTCATCGTACCAGTTAACCGACCAGCAGGTCGGGCTGTGTCAATCAAGCCGAAGAGTTGTCAGCCTCATCAGACGCGTGCTCCCTGTCGGCTCGTTTATTTTACTTGCAGGTCGTGCGGGTTCCAGACGCATCCAGAGCACGCCACCGTCGTCGTCTGCGACAAGTCGCCAACACTCCTGTGTTTTATACGTGGTGGTTCGGAACTTGGCCACCTCGGCAGAAGCGACCGAGATTGACAACCTCAGTGTGTCGCGGGGGTGTGTATGCTGGCATGAAAAGTTAGATGCGTTTCCAGGCACGGGGTAGTGTTTAAGCCTCGAGTCCAAGATTCCGAGCCGAATGGGGACAAAAAACAACGAAAGGATAAATCATTAGATATTTGAATATAGGACAGATGAACTACCCAGATGGGGGTTCCCGAGATCCTGAATGCACAGCACGCAAGCAGCCAGCCCCCGTAGCCTACCCAAGGAAAAGGGCCAAGAGAGCCCGGAAGAAGAGCAAGAGAGCCCGGAAGAAGAGCAAGAGAGCCCGGAAGAAGAGGAGTAGAAAGAAGGAAAAAAAGCCAATTGCAGAGACCTCCAAAGCGTAAAGCAACATGGGTATTCGAGGTCATCCTCCCATTCATATTTTCCATGACGAATTCGCTCATCATAACACACAGCATCTAGAAAGCTCAGTTCTTCTTTTCTGAAGGCTTGCCTGCGTAGAACCAGTATCTAATTGGGCAAGAATAATTAGCATCGTGTTTTTGCACGGGAGGAGAAAAACCAGGATGATCAAGACTTACTGCGCGGTGTACTGGACCTCGAACTTGGCGGGCATGTCTTTGCATGTGGCAGGCGGGCTGCCGCCGGCGGTGCCGACCCTGTAGACCTCCTGCAGCTCGCCCGTGGCCATGCCCGGCTTGGCCGTGAGCTTGAGCCAGGCGACGGCGGCCTCGCCCTGCTGGCCGCGGGGCGCGTCGGCGGGTGCGGGCTCCGAGGCGTTCTTGCCCACGCTGACGCGGCCGAGCTGCTGGCCGGGCACGTCCAGGTCGAAGAAGGGCACGGTGGCGTCGGGGGTGAAGTAGTGGTGGCCCGAGATGGCCAGGTTCGAGGGCGCGATCTTCTGGTCCAGCTCCTCGCCCGTGAGGTTGAAGAGGATGGTGACCTTGGACAGCTGGTTGAGGAGCTGCGGGAAGTAGGAGCCGACGCAGCTGGCGTTGAAGAGCGTGGCGAGTGCGCCCGCGGCCACGGGGGCGGCGGTGGCGTTGCCGGCGTCGCACGTGTAGTTTTGCGTGCCGCGGCCGAGCGCGATGTGCTTCAGGGCCAGGCCGGCGCTCGGAGGGGGCATGGGGTTTTTGGCTGAGGGGGATGCCGTGTTAGTCCTGTTTATTCACGAGAAAGTAGATGGAGAGTCGACACTTACAGCCCGGGACCGTGGGGAGTTGTGCCATTGACAGATCGCACACCGGCGTCTGGGACATGGCCCTCTGCTCCTGAACCTTCCTCGCCAGCATGTTGAAGTACTCCGACATGACCGTGATGGAGCCGGGCATGGCAGCGTCCATGTTGAGTGCGGGGTAGGCCGGGGCGGCGTAGGCCGAGGCGAAAAGCGCCGATGCGAATATTATGGAGGCGTGCATGGTGGCTCTGTGTGTGGCTGTTGGCCTGGTCTGAGGTATTTCTTGGCTTCAAACTCTCTTCCTTCGTCTCCCGATATGACCTGCGGGTAGCGACTTGGAGCGACTGTGTTCTGCGCGGTCGTTGCGTTCGTGACGGTAACAAGACAGGAAAGGAGACCGGAGACCCAGGTTGCAGGAAGGAAATACCGAGAGAGATTGGAAAGTAAGAAAAGACTAGGAAATAGATAGGAAAGGAGACCTAAGGAAACGGAAAGGGCTATGATATATCGAGACCGATCAAGATGTAGGACAGCTGGCGTGATGATGGCACAGACTAAAACCTCTCTCGACTCCGAGCGAGGGCGAGGTCTATTATACAGGCCGGCCAGAGCATGCAGCGGCCCAACAGGGAGGCGCCATCTGATCCGCCGGCATGGCTGCTTCCCACGCGGGCTGGGGATGACTGGCTTGGGAGGGACGAATCCCTGTCTCTGCGGTGTGTTGCAACCAGGCACCTAAATCCGGAGCGCTAACCCAAGCCGAGTTAGATTATCAGTTCGTTCCACCGCCCGGCCCCCTCCTCGACGGGCGGTTGCGCTAGCGCGGGGGTGGGGACCCAGGGCCAAGAGGGTGGTGGTGGCAGCGGGCTCGGCGAGCAAAGAATAGAAAAAACAATCGAAGACGGCAGGGCGGGAGTCTGTGTAAGATTGGGCAATGGCGGCATCTCCTTGGTCCAGCCAACCGACGATCTTCTCCATCGGGCAGGGGACCCCCCTGACCGCAGCTGCAGTCAGAGGGCGCCCCACCCCTCCTAGCGCAATCAAACCCCTCCCGCGTTTTCGTCCATTCTTGGTGCGCCGTGCTGCTGTCAAGTCCAAGCTGCAAGCGCCCGGGCGGTAAAGCTGTGCAAGGACGACGTGGTGGGGCAACGGGGCAGCAGCCTCGTGCCTCGAGCAGATTGGACGGTACTGTTTTGCAGTGGCCAACTTTTTGCGCACGTACATACCATCTATCTGGGTCCCTTCCTAGCTGGGCTCAATGACGAATTCGTGGTTGCTGGTATCAACGGTGGCCGAGGAGGCGGGCGTGGGCAGGGTGTGGCATTATGCGCGGGCGCCTGCAGTCGCCGATCAGCGCCCGCAAAACGTAAAGCTGGTGGAGGTCATCACGTTGTCTGCCATGGGTGCCTGCGTGGGAGATGGATCTCCTGAATCCATGTTTATTACATGCTTGACTGCATTTGAGTTGCTTCCGCGAGTCGAGTCCCTGGAGTTTTGCTATGTCAGCTTCGGTCGAAATCTCGTCTGTTGAAAGTCTTTGATAATGCCGTCGGCTGTGATTCCAACGCCATCCTCTCCCGAGCTTTGCATAGGATTTTAGGTGAGGCTTGCTTGACGGAGCGTGCTGCAGCTGCACTCCCCCACTTGATCATCTCTCTACCAGCCCGCTCGAAGATGCGATCTTGCAGGTGGCGGAATCCATAGGTCAAGTCGCCCACCACCATCTCCAAAAGGGTGTGGATGGCTGGCTATCTGGGCCCCAATTGGCGACCCACGTCTTCCAGCCACGAATTCCAGCGCGCTGCACATAAGTCAGTCGGAGAGCCCCGATTCGCTCGACGGCTCGAGATTGCCGGGCTTGGTAGATGTGTGGGCACCCATTTCGACTTGTCGTCGACCATGTAGTATCACGAGACCAAGTGAAGTGTACCTGTAGATGTGTAACAGAAACCCAGGCACCGTCGCGGCCAACTCGCGCCGCTTCCTTTCTCACCCGTTTGTTTCTTTTTCCATTCATTTTGCGCTAATAACAACTGTCTTAACACCCTTCCCAGTCCATGAGGGATCTGGCCGCAGGTAAGATTGATTACTTGCATCGGATAGGAAAGCTTCCCTAATATTCTTAGTACTGCAGCGTTCCATCGCAAAGCGGCAGAGCAGCGGGACAAGATGACTTGGCGGATCCAAAATGGGACCCAGAAAAGGAAGGAAGGAAAAAAAAAGAGAGGGGAACATCGCGCAAGCGGGTGGTGTCGCCAGCCGTCCGCCAATTTCCTCCAATCAGGCGCCCCAACGCTAAGCGCCCGGAAATAGCAGCCACTAGCGACGCGACTTTCGCAAAATGCCCCCGCCCTCTAGACGCAACCCGCTAGGGGCTTGTGATTGGCTCGGCCGCAAACAAGCGCAGCCGCTATTGATTTCTTGACCTTCTTGTCCGGCACCCACAATTCGACGACCCCGTTGCTGCTCCATCTGGCAGAAAACCACCCTCCATCTTTGCCCTTTGCAAAAGAGTTGCGCTTAGTTGCGCCTACAGTACACCCTCTTCACCGCGATCGTGCAGACGCGAATCGACATCGGTTGGATCTCGTTGATCCGCAGGGCTCTAGTTGCTGGTGTGGGGAGCAGGTTTTGTGGTGGGCCTGGCAATATCTTGGACACCACCACCACCACCACCACCACCGCCCTCCTTTTTCTGCCACCGTCGCGGGGCCAAGGGCAATAAACGCCCGTCTCCAGGCCTAGGCAGCGCCTGTGTCCCTTGGGCCCCGTACCTGGGCCTGGCATACGTACCACCTGTCTCGGTGCCACCCCAGAACGGGGCTTTTATCGAGCACGACATGGACCACCGGGGCGGCTGGCGCTAGGGCCGCCGAATATGGCCAGCGCTTCGGCCGCAACAGCTGTGGCCCTTTCTTCCAGATAGTGCGGCCGTCCCTCCTGGGCAAAAAGTTTCTATTTACTCTATTGCGTGTCACCCCCTCCCCTGGCATGGGATGACACCGCACCACTCTCGGGACACCTTCCGCTTGCCCAGAAGAGGATAGAAAGAGAAAAAAAATCTTGGTCTTCATCGGCACTCCGCGGAGAAGCATCCCGCCCACTTGCTAACAGGATGCTGCGGGCGGGTATTCGCTGTTGCCAAGTCCCGCACGCGGTCTCTGGGCGGAGCTGCACCGACATCAATAGCGCTTCCCCAGGACGATACCACGCACACCCGCGTCCATGACCGGCACAAAGCAGACACATGCAACGTGGAGAGGGTCATGAGGCCGTTATTGGCGATGTGATGTAGCGCAACGCTGGTAGTCGCTGTCGGGTAGGGAGATATCCTTGGTCCTCCGTGACACTAATAGTCCCGTGGGACGTGCTCCAAACACGCAGTCGCCTTGTCAGAAGACGGACGGGGAGTACCGATGATGCATCCAACGACATGCCTTTAAGGGATGGCGTATTTGCGTCCTGCTTTGGGTCCTATTATTGCTCTCCCTGCCATTTGCTACTACACACGGCCCGCCATCTATGTCCCGATACCTAAACTTATGCGTGCCCTCCGGAGCCGTGTATTGTTTTGCCATGCCGCGTCCTGGTATAACATTCGTAATGTCTACCTTTATCCAGCAGGCGGCACGGAAGGCTTGTAATAGTGCGACGGCAAGGGAAGGGAATCGGCAGGCTCTGCTCGGTGATTTGCTGTGCTCCGAGATGTGGTGTAGGGCAAACGTAACCCACCTGCCATATGTCGCGCGCGCGCGCACCCGCTCTGGCAGGCAGGGGTTTCCCCGGCCGTTCCAAGCCAGGATGAATTTCCCCGATCGGTTACGACGGCTTGGCAGGAAACGCCGGGAGCGCCAGTCCTTTACCGGGCCTCAACTCTATTTCAATTTTCCAAGGCCTCTAACCGCCCGCCAAAAACCAAAGGAAACGGCCAAGTGAGAGAAGTCGACATGGGCCTAGGCTATTCTTGCCATAGTGTGCCCGCCTAGACACTGGGCGAGCCATCCTTTGCGGCGGCGGGTATACCCATCTCTACAAGACCTTTCTGGTGCCACAGGCTACGTTTCCCTGCACACTTGATCGTCTTGGTATTGACTCTATCCCTGAGAAATTCCAAAGGAGGGTGGGCAGGGCGACACGCCTCGTCATCTATCGCGTATCCTAAACATCTCGGTGCTCCCCATGGGCGGCAAACAGGCTTTTTCTTCCCAGCGCGTTCCTCGGCCGTAGCCGCCCGCCGATGGTGTAGTAGGCTCAGTGGAAGGAAGACCAGGAAGTAGGATACGACGAAAAACGAGGACGGGTGGGATGAAGCAGCACTGCGTTTGTACCTGCTCCCTATCAAAAATGTGATCTAGCCATCCTGTCGGGTATACGCATCAATTGTCCAACGCCCACGTCAATATAAAGGGGCACTGGCGATATGATAAGGCAGAAAAAAAAGGCAACAAGTGGAATAAAAAGGGACACCTCATATAACATAACCAATCAAAGTCAACGCCCTGGGCATAACAAGGGGACATGGCGGTCTTTTGATACATGCAAACTGCAACAGGTTTTTACAACACGTCGTCATTGGCGTGGGACTCTTCGGGCGCCACCTGGCTTCCTTAGTTACCCTTGAAGTCGTCGCTCCGCCAGCCCCCGTGCGAATCCGCAGCGCCTTTGGCAGCGCCCTTCGCCATGGCGCTGCCGGCGACGGCGCTCAGCTTGCTGGCGTGTTGCTCTACGTCAACGGTGCCGAGCCAGTAGAGCGACAGGAAGACGAGCAGGTGCAGCGCCACGCAGTAGACGGCAAACAGGTTGCGACTCGTGCGGCTGGCCAGCACCATGCGCGTGACCGAGTACACGGCGCGCTCGGGTAGCGACATGCGCTTGTAGGCGCGCGCCGATTCGCGGCCGCGGAAGGCCGCGAACGGGCTCAGGTTGGACTCGTACGCCTTGCGGTACCGGTCCAGCGCGATGCCCGGGTTACCCGTCCCGCCCATCGATACGGTCGACGGGTTCGGGTTGGCCGAGTAGGCCGACGCAGACGTCGAACCGCCCGCTGAGCCGACGCCCGCCGCCGTCTGGTGCGCCCCTCCCCGGCTGTAGCTCTGCACGTACCGCGACTTCTCGTACAGGTTGAGGTTGTCCTTCTGCAGCGCCGCGATCTCCTGCCGCAGCTGCGACACGTTGCGGTGCGACTCGGACAGCTCCTGCTCCAGCTGCGCATTGCGCTTCTTGAACCGGTCTCGCTGCGCCGTGACCATGGGCAGGATTCCTGAGCCGCCACCCATGGGCTCACGCTCAGATATGCTACCTGTAGGCGCGAAACCGCTGATGATAGACGACGTTGGGCTCGTCCTCCCGCCGCCCCTCCGGGTGCCGGCCATGGAGGGTGCGTAGCGGTTCACGTAGGTGCCTGCAACGGACGCTGCTGAGGGGAAGGCGTTTGCGCCCTCGGCCTGCATCGTCGAAAGGTCGTTTTCCAGCTTCTCGTTGAGGGTTTGCGACTTCTCCAGTTCGGCGTTGGTCCTCGACAGCTCCTCCTGGAGATTCTGTAGCCGAGTCTGGAGGTCCTGATGGGAGACCCTCAGCATCGTGAGCTCGTCGCTCAGCTTCTTATTCCTCGCCAGGAGCAGCTGCTCCAGCGTGTCGCCTTTGCCCTTGCCGCCGCCCGAGGCCGCGAGATGGTCGTCATCGGGAGATGTACGCATATCGTCGTCGTCTCCCGTTGCGAACTCGATGCTCTTGAGGACCTCGAGCTCCTGCTTGACGTCATCGTAGTCGCTCCACTTCTTCACCTTGGCCCGCAAGTTCTCGCGCTCCTCCTTGAGCCCGGCAACCTCGCGCTCGAGACCCCTGAGGCGAGCGTCAAGGTCACGCTTTAGGGCCGTCTTCTCAACGCGGGCGGCATCGAGCTTGCGGATGAGGGACGAGTTCTCGGAGCGCATGCGCATGTAGCCCGGGTCGTCCTCAAGCTGCTGCGCGACAGAGGCGGCGGACTGGGAGCCGACCTGCGACTTGGCTTGCGCCAGGTCGAGACGGAGCTGTTCGTTGCGGGCCTCGACCTCGGCTAAGCGTGCGCTCGTGCGCTCCAGGTCCGAGTTGACCATCTCGAGCTCGGCGCTCATGACGTGTGCGCGCTGGGACTCGTCGCCATCGCCGGCAGTCTTACCGAGACGCTCATTGACCTCTTCGGTAGCCCTGATGCCGCTTAACAGACGCTCTTGATGCTCCAGCTTGTCCTCGAGAGCCTTCTCCTTGGCGGCCCAGTTGTCCTTCTTCTCGTCGACGACGGCGATCCAGGTGGTCTCGACGTCCCTGACTCTGGTCTCAAGGCTTTCCTCAAGCTCCTTGCGGGCCGCCCGTTCGGTTTGCAGACGGGCCTCGGTGTCGTCGAGCTGAGTAGTCAGTTTGGCCACCGTCTTCTGGAGGTGTTCGTTCTCCTCGGTAAGCTTGGGAAGGGTGTCTTCGGACAAGAGCATCGAGTCGACCGAGGCCTCGAGCAGCGGGTAGGGGTCTGGGGCGTCTGAGAGGGCATTGTAGGCGTGGATAAACGACGAGTTGATGGATTTGGAGTGGTTGGTGAGGAGGTCGATGAATGTTTGGTATGCTGCCGCACAAGTTTTGGTTAGCCATGTCTGCCCCTCGCACCCAGAGCCGGGGTCTGCGCGCGCACACACACACCTTTCAGTAGCCCCTTGATCTCTGTCAGCTTGGTGGCGTCATCTAGTTTCCGGAAGTCTTTGGTTTTCTGCGCCAGGTCCTTCCGCTGCACCGTAGAGTCTCGTTGGTAGGTGACGATCTCGGATGCTGTGTTGTCGAGGTTGGACACCAGTGTGCTGAAGTCCAGATCTGGTGAACAGATGGTGTCAGTCTGAAGAACACAACCAGTCCAACACTGTGTCTGCCTGGCAGTCCTTACTTCTCCACGCTGAGATGGCGCTTTGGAACTTGTTGGCGGTGTCGGCTCCGCCAGCGGCAGGCGGAGCTCCGGGGGCGGCAGCCTCGGCCATTGTGGGATGCTGAGGGGGCGGGCAAGTCAATTGCTGGGTAAACACGCCCTTTTTTTGGTGGGTGCCGTGGGGAAATTCTTGAGAGTTGGAAAGACAAGAGATCTGCGATCTACGGCCACCGTGATCTGGCAGCGCAAACGTTCAACATCTGGTCTAGCGATGCTCGGGTCAAAAAAGGTGCACGACACAGCGCAGTCGATGCGGAGGAAATGTGGCTGGTTATGGTAGGTGTTGTGTGGTGCTGTGTGGTGCACCAAAGCGCAACACGCTGCAACGCTCGGCATGCAGCCGCAGCCATGACCCCAGTTCGGCTCCAATTGAGCTTCGCTGGGGTGCCCCTGGAGGGGGGTTTTGCTAGCCACCGACACGCGTGCTTTGCGCTGGGCGGGCAGCTTGTTAGCGTGTCGTAGCACTGGTTGTGGTGCCTGTGGTGCCTGTGGGTCCGTCAGAGCGGTTGAGCTCGCCCTCAATCCCAGCCATCAAAGGTCGAGGCTGTCAGCCTTGCTTGACGTAGCTTCCGTCGTCATTCGACATCCTACCTCCATCCTTGGTCCACGCCTGCGCTAGACTCGCCGACCGGGCGCTCCCTAATGCCCACCCGATAATAATGCTGACGCAGCCAACGGAGACATGGCGTCGACATCGCAGAGCGAGGGGCTCCCCTCCAAGCCCCGGCTAGAGCCAGGCCCCTTCGTCCTGCGCACGCTGCTCCACGACGTGCCGCTGTCGGCCGACGGCGACGAGGAGGACATCCGGATCAACTGTGTTGACTACTGGGGTATGCATGCCTCGACCCCGACCGGCGCCCCCGCAGTCGTAATGCGCGCGCTCCCCTTGTCAAGCCCACCTCTAACAATGCTTCCATGCCTCCTTCCTGTAGAGAGCAACCTGTACATCGGAACCTCGGCCTCGGAGCTGCTCCACTTCGTCCAGATCCCGCCTGATCCCGCCGACAAGACCGCCACGTCCGTATTCATCCTCGCGTCGAGGCTGCGGCCCTTCTATATCGAGTCGGCCACCTTGACCGTCGCCCTGCCCGGCGTCCAGCAGATTCTCCTCCTCCCAAGGGTCGGCAAGGCCTGTGTGCTGTGCAACTCTACCGTAACTTTCTACTCTCTCCCCGAGCTCAGCCCGGTATACAACGAGATCAACGTCAAAAACTGCAGCTGGATAGGGGGTGTCGACCTCAACGAGGAGGCCCCTGGGGCATCCACGCCCGCCGCGGCGCCCACGGTCCTGCTGTCCCTCAACAAGCGTGTCCAGGTCGTATCGGTCGGCGAGGAAAATGTGCGTGGCAAGAGGAACATCGACTTTGCGGGTTCTAGGCTGTCTGTACGAAGGGACAACATAGCCTGCGTTGCCGACTCGCACACCTACGCTCTTGTGGATGTCGATAGGCAACTCAAGATCCCCCTGATGAGTATCTCATCCCTGGACCACACCCAGAGCACCGACGTTATAGGCCAGGTTCAGGATATTGGGGCAGGCGCGGATAGCGGCAACGGCGGTGGTCTAACGCGGAGCTCCTCGTCCGCCACTGCGCGGTCTCCGGCCCCAGGGGGTGCTGGCCATAATAGGAGTACCAGCCTCGGGAACTTCATCACCAGCGTTGCTGCGAGAGCCGAGGCAAAGCCTGCTGGTGACGCTGGACACATCGCCCCCGATGTACCCAGCCCTTCGAGAAGCCCTGCGCCGCCGTCAGACAGGGCACTCAGGCCCCCGCCAGCAACCGACAAGCCGCTCCCTCCAGTTGGCCCTCGTGCTGCAACTCCGACCCCAACGCCGGCGCCAGTGCTGCTGAAGCCCCTGATCGTCTCCCCGACCGCCGACGAGTTTCTTCTCGTCACGGGCACGGGTCCCTCGGAGCCCGGGATCGGCATGTTTGTCAACCTCGACGGAGACCCTACGCGCCCAACACTAGAGTTTGATAGCTATCCTGACGAAGTTATTGTGGACGGAGGCTCATCCGACCTCGCGTCGTCCACACCATCGCTGGCCCCCGAGGAGGAGGGCTATGTGCTGGCGGCGATGAGCAAGCAGTTCCTGGACGGTGTGCATCACGGCCTGGAGATTCAGCGGTGGGATGTGAATGTGGGCGAAAACGAGCCCGAAAAGTTCTGGCTCGAGGTCAAGGCAGCTAGAAATGATGCGGAAGAGAAGGAGGCAGCCGAGAAAGACGCGCCTGTGGGGACGGTGTCTTTGGGCATCCGCTCCCTTCTCGGTAGTGACGAGTCGCTCCTGAACGAGGTTGTAGAGAGACTCCGGCATCAGCGTTTCTCCCCATTCTCCTCTGGCCGACAGAACCCGGGCACCATGTCTTTGCGGAGTGTCGACTCCCGCACGGCACTGTCCATGGAGCGTGTCTCTAAAGAGAGGGATCTCTTCGAGCGAGACCTGGATGCCCCCGAGGAAGAGCCCCTCCCCGAAGGTTGGGAGGCTGCGCGGGGTGCCGAGGAAGAAACAGCGGCCGCTCGACTGGCCAAGACGGTTGGGAGGCTCGCAGTATGGGGCGAGAAGAACATATGGTGGGCTGTAAGGAACCCTCTGCTTCTACAGCTGGAGGCGGGCCTGGAAGCGAACGCGTTAGACGGCGACCCGGCCGCTGTTCATGCGGCCAAGGACCGTCGCCAGCTCTTCGCTGTACTCAACACGTTCCGCGGCAGGGACCCCCGCACGGAGCTCGAGTTCAGGACCTTCAGCTACGTTAGGCAGCGGGCTGGGGTTCTCCTGTTCGCCAGCTTCCTGCGCTCCTCCGAGACTCCGTTTTCGGAGCCTGAGCTCAAGGCGCTGGAAGATATCATACTCGAAGGCGGGCTGGACCCCAGGATAGTCTTGTCCATGGTACCCGGCCTGCGGCATGAGATCATCGAGGGCCGTACCGGAATATGGGTGTTTGGGGGAGTCAAGGGGACCGTTGAGAGGTATCTGTCGAGCAGCATGTTCGATGAAGTTGGCCATGCTGTCAATCTCCTGGACCCAAAGGTGCTGAGCTTTCTTCGGCGGCTGCTTGCGGCTTTCCGTCGAAGGAAGGGGTTTGGAAGCGTCCCCGACGAGCACGAGGTGTCTCGCACGGTCGACGCGTCGCTCCTGGCGGTACTGCTGGAGCTGGACCGCGACTCGCCGCTGGGACTGGCCAAGAGCAGCTCGTCGCCACGGGCCGAGATCTACGAGCTCGTGGACCGGGGCGTGGACTGTTTTGAACGCGCCGTGGACCTGCTCGAGTCGTACAGTCGCCTATACGTACTCAGCCGGCTGTACCAGAGCCGCAAGATGGCGGGCGAAGTGCTCGACACGTGGCGGCGCATCGTCGAGGGCGAGCGCGATGACGGCGGCGAGCTCCAGGATGGAGAGCAGCGCGTGCGCGAGTACCTATCCAAGATCAGCAACCAGGGCCTGGTCCGCGAGTACGGTGTCTGGCTGGCTGCGCGCAACCCCAAGCTGGGCGTGCAGGTCTTTGCCGACGACGGCGGCCGCGCGCCCAAGTTCCACCCGGCCGACGTCGTTGCTCTGCTCCGCGAGGAGGCGCCCGACGCCGTCAAGTACTACCTCGAGCACCTCGTCTTCGACAAAGGCCACACCGTCTACGTCGGCGAGCTCGTCAGCCACTACCTCGAGGTGGTCATGACCGACCTGGAGTCGTCGGCCGCGGCGCGCACCAACGTGGCGGCCATGTACGCGGCCTACCGCGCGCTAAGGCCGCCTAAGCCGACGTTCCGACGCTTCCTGACGGACAACGCGCCCCCCGGCGACGAGGTCTGGCACTCGCGCCTGCGCCTCCTGCAGCTGCTCGAGGGCCCCTACGAGTACGACGTCGCGGCCATCCGGGAACGCATCTCGGCGGGGCAGCAGCGGGTGAGCAACGGCGAGGAGGAGGAGCATGACAGGGAGGAGGGGGAGGAGGACCTGCTCGTCCCCGAGACTGTCATCCTGGACGGGCGCGAGGGCCGCCACGCAAACGCTCTCCGACTGCTCGTCCACGGGCTCGGCGACTACGACTCGGCCGTGTGGTATTGCCTCCGCCAGCGGCCCGCAGCCGAGACGGACGCGGAGGAGGAGGAGGAGGAGGAGGCCGCAGACGACAGGAACCAGCAACGCCAGCCGCTGCAAGCCGCCGCCGCCGCCGACAGCAGGCAGCAAAAGGCGGCGGCGGCGGCGGCGGCGCAAGAGAGGACGACACGCGCCCTCTTTGGCGCGCTCCTGGCCGAGTTCTTGGCGCTCGGGGACGCGAGCGACCGGGTCGAGCAGACGGGCGCGCTGCTCGAGCGCTTCGGCGCCCAGTTCGACGTGCTCGAGGTCCTGCGCCTCATCCCCGACGCCTGGGGGCTCGACGCCGCCCTCGCCGGCTTCCTCGGCAGCGCCCTCCGCCGCGTCGCCCGCGAGCGCCACGAGGCCCGCGTCGCCCGCGCCCTCAGCTCCGCCGAGAACCTGCGCGTCTGCGGCGACCTGCTCGCCCTCGTAGACGAGAAGGGTCCCACGGTCGAGGCGGCCGAGTGAG